TGCCTCGAGGGTTTTACGCGCGCACACTTGCGACTCCTGTGCTACGACCTCCACGATGACCTCAAAATCGCCTCCGTTATGCTTCTGAACTCGGTGGCTCCCCAAGGCAGTAGACGTTTTCAATCGTCTCATGCCATCTATGTGCTCTTTGACCCTCACGTGAAGTGGTCTTGCCGTTTCTCCAATATACTCATCACCACAATCCCGGCAAGTAATTTTGTAGACCACTCCAGACATGTTACAATCACCTTCCCTTCCAGCTGGACAAACCACACAGTTTGAGGTTGTACATAGGCGATCGTATAGCCTGTTACGAATCAGGCGCTTCTTTNTCGTAGGGAAGAATGTCTCGCAATCACGCGGGAGCTACGGCCTTATATAAGATTGGCCTTCCCTTACAGACTTTAATGAAGACGTACCCCAGCTGACACTGGTCGGTTGGTACCACTTCTTGTTGGGTGGTTTCGAAGAATCCACAAAGTTACGGTGAGTGGTTCTCCTTTCAACCACCTGCGTGCCCTGGGGGTCTCGAACTTAGTGGGTTGGCGGAGACGTTTGATCGGATAATCACAAATTGTTATGATCCTTTCAGGCTCTGAAGAAGGCGATTCCGCCGAAACGTCAGCCTAATAAAGAATACTTACAAACCTCGTGAAGAGTTCAAGACAGCAATAAACTCAGTAATACAATTATGCCGAGGTTCATAGAAAGCCGTACATGGAACTTACTTCGTGACGTGAATTCATAATTGTGTTCAATGACATTCTAGAAGGCGGGAAAGAGGTGGCTAGATAATAAAGAGATGCGGTCAGTTCCTCGCAGTTCGTGGAGTTCACAATGGGATAAGCGGGATTGAGGCCTTCATAAATCTGTTCAAGAGCGTACCAGAATGCGGAGGAAATGGTCAGGGGTGGGTTTCCTAAAAAAAAGGGGGGTTAAATTTGAGTGTTCTGTAATCACTCATGTAGGCGGTGCTGAAATCAAACACCCACGACTCTGCTTAAAACTTTCTGGTATCTAAACAAAATTGGATATTGCTGTTCAAGGGAGGATCGTCAATGTCCAGGGAGGACAAGGCCTGCACTGCGGTGGGTGAAGCTAAGATTGAAAATTTACTATCCTGTCAGACGCTCTTAGGGTACCAATATCGTTCTGCAGGGTGACCCACATAAAGTGTGACGGGCAATAAAAAAATTGACTTAGGGCTCTTGGGCTGGAGGATGCGGTGATCCTTTGGAACGTGGTGAGCGTCAGCTGAATATTTTAGCAGGATTGGGCACCAGCCCACAGCGCAATGAAGACGCTGCAATGTAGCGAAACCACGCTTCCGGATTTCTTTTGAAGCAGGTTTGACCTTCAAATTCTCCGATCTCACGCCTTTGGATTTTGCTGTAGAAGATCAACAGAAAATGTGTCAGTCTAAATAGTAATTTCCTATCTTTACCCTTAATAGAGCTGTTGCTGTTTAAATGATATCGCCAGTGGCTCGTGGTGATAAGCTGCATTATTTGGGGCAAA